AATTAACGTTTCATTTGTTTCATTGTTTATTCATCGGTTGTACCTGTTATCGATTTAGTTTTTAGTAATATTGTTTTATATTCAGTTAATATCGGCTTATTGGTCTTATGGCCCCTGCTCTTATCAAATTATAATAATATTAATAATAATAATAATAATAATAATAATAATAAACAACTTTTATTTGAACAATTTTTTTAAAAATTTGAATTTTCTATATTTTGTCGAATACCCGAAGTTGAAAAAATCATGATTGCTATACTTTCCTTATCTGTATACAGACAGGAAAGTAAAAATGAGAAAAATTTATCCAATCTGTGCGGCCTAGGGTCATAGAGGGTAACTTTATAAAAAAAATATACAATAATGAGGAACATAAAAAGAACTTAACTAAGATACCCAACCTGTGCGAGCTGGAGCCATCGAGGGTTGCTTCGCAAAAAAATATATACAAAAATGAGAAACATAAAAAGACGTAACCAATTTACTTAACCTGTGCGGCCTGAAACCATTTAAATTTAACTGATTGCTATCGCACAGGTTAGGTAAATTAGTTTTTTTAATTTTTTTATTTTTTCATTTCTTGCATATTTTTTTGCGAAGCAACCAGCGATGCAATCAGCGATAGCTTTGGGCCGCACAGGATTAGTTGAGTTTTTTATTTTATCTAATTTTATGTATATTAGGTTTTCCATAAAATGTTTTTTCGATCAAATGTTTTCTATTAATTTTGTGCCACCCATTAAATTTAGTGACATATTTATTGTGAAAGAAAGTAGAAATTAATTCTAGAATTTAATTTTTATTTCTGAAACATTTATTAAACTTTATTTTTGAGAATATTTCACTTATCAAAGGACTTTTTGTAGAAAACCTATGCAATTTAAAAATAGAAATCAAAAACTTTAATTTTGACTACTCAAATAATTTGATCTCTAAAATGCCAACGGAATAATAGAAATAATCTCGAAAAAACTACTATTGAACCTGCCGAAGTAATCCCTATGAAATTATCCGTTCTAATTAAATTATTCAAAAATAATATAAGTAGCACGATATTATCAGACAATAGAGACGTGTAACTTAATAGGAAAATTTGTTCGGCGGTCCATTTAAATTACATTTTATGACTTTCTTTCTCTTTAACATTGACTTTGACAGTCCGAAAGTTTGTTTAAGTGTAATGTTGTTTGTATTTAAAATTTTATTCGATTGACTCAAATCCTTTCGCTCCTGATGAAGCTATTAAACAATGGCGAAATATTGAGCAAGTAAGGAAAAGAGTTTTATTTCTTAGGACCGCTAACCTGATATGTTGTGGCTTCTGAACACCATCGAAGTGAATAACCTTCCATTATTAGAAAATGCCACTGTTGTCAAAAGTTTAAAGTTCTAATGATTAGAGGATGTTGATTCTTCTTCGAATTAAAAACATTAAATGTGTGCTTTTTGTAAATAATAAGAGTGAATAGATTTATATCGAAAGTAAAGTGACTAGAAAATTATACTTCCATATTTAACTGCAAATGTTGCTTTCTAATAAACAATGGGTTTCTGTGTGGAATATCCAAATTTTGAAATAAATAAGGACGTTCAAATAATAGATGTTTATTTTTCAAGAACCAGAACTAAATGATATTATGAAGCCGCCAAATATTTTTTGGAAGTATTATATATTAATAATAAATTCAAATAAAAATAAGTTTTGTCGTTTCCTTCATATTTATTTATCAATTACCTATTATATTACCGTTAACCGAGTCTTTTAAGGTTTATTTATAGTAAGACATTGACAGTTTTCTGTATAGGTATAGTCCAGGCATTTACTTTTGTGGAGTTACATAGATTTCGCAAAACTACAAGAATAAAAAAAAACACTTAAATTGATTTGCATATTTAAAAGGAATTGTTTTTTAAATACATCTATTAGCTTTTATTAAATACATATTAATAATAGAAACAATATATGAAACACAAGTTTAATAAATTAAGTTTTTGTACTTATTGTAGATAATTTATTTATGCATTCCTGTTTAAAAAGAATACAATAAATAACAGGCAAGCTTTATTATAATCATTTAAGTAATTAATAACATTTATATATGAAATGACAATACTATTCAAACTTTCAATCTTTTTTTGGCAGGGTCTGTTAAAGAACCTTTTAGGTGGTATATTTATGAAGCACATCTTATTTTGTTGTCAAGTTTTTACCCATAATTTTGAAACATCCAGTTTTCTGCATCTTCTTCGACCTAAAAATAATGCAAACTAATTAGTTCTCAGAATCAGTGTTAAGTAAAAAGGTAGGTACCTATATTGACCTGCCAGTTGATCAATTTATATCACATTGTAAACAATTCAAGATTATCTTTACTTACATCAAATTAAATACAAAAGCACGATGGTCGTTTGTATTTTGCAACAGCCCTTATAGGGACCGTGCGTCATGACTTTAACGCTAACTGGTGACAAAAATGTGAACTTTATGGGGGGGATTTATTAATGTTTTATACGGCATTAATTGTTTAGTAATTATTAATTAGATAAAGTCGAATTATTTTCGTAATATCATTATCGAAAAAACTTGTTGCATTCGTGGATGTACAAACACATCACTTTGGAAACCTGGATTTGATTCGATAGTAAAGAAATTTTTTAAATTTCCACAGAGCACACTTAGTGCCTCACACCCAATGATATACATAATTACATATATTGCTTATCCATACGTAAATCAGACGACGAAAAGCGTATTTCATTGGGCAAAGTTTTCTTTTTATCTATAATCAATTTTGAGCACTTAATTGTAAACAAATCATTTACAGAACCGGTTTAGAAATTAGAGTCTTTAGTGTTTTCTTGTCATTAAGATTTTTACATATTTAAATACACATTTTATATAAATATAATGTTACAGATAATTAATGGTTTATTCTGTTAATTAAAATTAATGAAGAATGTTACTGTGAAATTAGAATGTCCAATTTGACAAAAATATCATGGCCCTCTTTACAATTTATTAACTATTTCTCATTTATCACTAAAATAAACAAATCATAATTAACATATTTTAATTACTGTCAAAAGAGATTGCGACAAACTTTAAAATATTAAAAATCCACTGATTTTTGTAAATTTTTTTAGTAACATTACCATTACATAAACATTACTCAGAATAATAGATAAATGTCCAATTACAACTCTTAACAAAGGTATTTATTATCTCATATCAAAGTTGTTTACATTAAATTTAAAAGTTTTATTACATATTGAAATGATGTGTTTCTATAGTGTATTTTCTGAAATTAGAGTGGTCTAAAATTATTTACATTCATCTCACTGTTATAAAAATTGTTTAGATTTCTTAATATTATTTTACTACACGGAAACTCAACTTTCAAAATATATAATAACGTGTCTTGAAGTAAAACTTTAATTTTTTTTTTCTTCTAAATATTAAAAACACATTTGGGCTAGAACGGCACTAGGAAAGGCAATTCATCAATACGCTTTTCGTAATCTTTTTTATAGGTGATGAGGAATCTATATAATTATGAATACATTGGGTGTCTCATAAACGTCAAAGGTGGTTGAATGACGTTTCGAATGACATAAAGCTAAAAAGAATAATTATTATTATTATTATTACCAATCTTTTTTTTTTCTTAATTTACATTTTTTAAATGTTATTGTAATACTTTTAAATTGAGTGTTACTAAATACCAATATTTTGACATTGGATACACTTGCTTAAGGTACAACTTTACAATTTATTGTCACTTAGCCATTTAAATTTTTTTGCTCAAAATGTTTATACATACATGTCCAGATTTTAATAATAATAATTTTTCACATTTTATATCATTTTGACCATGTATATGATTGTTTGTTACGGGCCGGTATCTATATTTAACTATATTTAATATTTAAAAAAATATCCTGTATTAATTACCTGCAATGTTTACCCCAATTAATTCTAAAATTAAACACTAGAGAGGGCTACCTTCGGCAGTAGTGCTGCCTCTATATTTCACGCACGGTCCCTATCCCACTATCGTTTTTGAATGTCTAGGTCTAGATTTTGAGGAACCTTTATAAACATTTGATCAGATTGACTGTTTTTTTTTTACTTCTCATAGGGACCATATACTTCACCAGATATTTTTAATGTAACACAAAATTAAACAAATGTTTATTTTATCACACTTTTTAAAAGCAATTTCAATGTTTTGTTTCCAACAATCGATTTGAGGTTAGAAATTTTGACATTTTTGTATCATGAGAAATGAAAAAATCATTTTAATCCGATTTTAGAAAGAGATAACTATCATAAATGTCACTATTAGAAAAAGATAACGATCAACTGTCTAGTATTATGGTATCACAGATTCTTTAGTGACCAATAGAAATAGGCGCTTCATTATGACACGGTTAATGGCGCAAAAATAAAGTGTTTTAAATAATTGATTTAAAAGTGAACTTTTTAAAGTACTATAACTGTATTATTTATTATCTATTTAAAGAATTTATTGCATGAAAAAAAAAAGTCTTTTTGTGCTTAAATAGTTAATAGTATTAGATTCTTTAAATTCGTTTACACTAAACACGCCCATTGTTTTTTTTTTCACTTTAAGGAATATATCTGTTATTATTTATGCTTGGAGAAGAAAATTTATCAAATAAAAGTTGCTTGTGATATCGATCTCTATAATTTTTGTCATGTACATAATTTCACTAAAATGGTCCATATTCGAGAAATTTGACAAAAATTTGAATTTTTAAGAAAATTGTATAAATAACTTGTTAACATAACAGTTCATGTTTCCAATTCAAATCCGTTATATGTGTCGTTTTATTCTACACTGATCGTTCATGTAGATAAAACAAATATGCATGATTTATCAGCCCTTTAAATACATAAATATCATTAATCAGTCATCTATAGTATACAGGGTGAGATCATTATTAAATATTAAAAAACAATTTAAAAAAATATGTCTATTCCATGTACTACGAACAACAATTTTCAAATAAATCATAAAAATTTCTCGGCAAAATGATAATAAACATTAAACAATCTGGTATCGTATTCTTTTTGCAGCCTAATGGCGGTAATCTCGAGATCAACCATAGAACCATCACCGATTTTTTGCGTAAAATCAACGACTTCATCTTCTTGACACAACTCGATTCTAGTAATCATTCCGGCCATGCCAAGACCGAACCTCCCGTACTTCTTCCAAGAACTCTTCAATCGTTTGAGAGTTAAAATATCATCGGACTTAATGTTGAACTGGCGTAAATAATTAGTCAGTTCCTTGTGGTACTCTTCCAGCAAATAGTCCAATTTATCTAATGTAGATTTGTCGGCGGTGGCGTACAAGTAATAGGAAAGATCCAAAATTGGAGAAGCCACTCGTGAGAGCTGGTAGTCAATGAAAACCAAATCAATTGGTTTTGATGTGTCGTCTCCCTAAAAAAATGTAGAAAAATTGATTATATCAAAAATATATTTATTCGTCAACATTTTGTCACCAGCAATATTGGAGTACGAATTAAAAATCTATTCAGGGTTGTTATGGAGACATAAATTTTTGGACAGTAATAAGAAATTAGGAGAGTCCTTTGCAAGCTGGAGGAGCAACGATATCAATCATAAATTATTTCTGCGGTAAGATTATCACTTTTTTTACAGATTGTATAACTAAGTATAAGGGGTTAAGAAAAGGTCCTTTATTTCTCACAAGTCAATTGACTTGTGAAAAATAAAGGACCTTTTCTTAATCCCTTATACTTAATCCCTACTACTCACATATGGCTACCCTCACTCCAGATTGTATAACTGTTTCAATAATAGTAGTTGGTAAATCCAATAAGAGAAAAATAAGCAGTATAATTAAATGAATGAATTACTTACTTTATACTTGAACATCATATTATTGTTCCAACAATCCCCGTGCAAAATCACAGCCTCAGTATCAGCTTCTCTATCGTTATTTAGTGTCATAGATCCCAGCATCTCTTCAACATTGTTCGCCTCCTTTTCAATTTTCTTAGCGGCAAGTTCCTTACCATTCTTTCTCAACAAATCCAACCCTTGTTGGCAATACTTCTTCAGCACGGGCACCATACCAGACATCACAAAAAACTGGCCCAATAAATCCGGCTGGTCCGTCATGTTTTTGGTAATACTTCTGAACAGATCAGGTTTTTTTTTCTTCAACGCCATACTAGCTCCGTGCCATCTGGCGTATGTTTTGAAAACGAACAGAACATGATCGAAATTTTGGTGTTTAGTCCTATCGTGCACCGTGTATCCAAGGGTTTTTAAGTTTGCCAGGACTAGGGATTCCTTTTTGTCTTCTTTGCAGGTGGTGTAGCACGTTACATAACTGGCGCATGGGTTCTTTATACTGTATTCCTTTTGTAGTTGTTTTATAGCTGGTAAGACTTCCGTGTAAATTTGGATTTCTCTGAAAAAATACAAAATACCAATTTGTAGAATATCCTCTTTATTGGCCCATGGCGACTATAGACTGTGTCAATGATGTTGTCAGTCGTAAATGATTTGTTTTTAGGAAATTGTAGAAAATTTTGTCCGTCAATCTAATGAATTCCTGGAACATCTCTAGATATATTCTGTTTATTCTAAACTGGTCAAGGACGCGGGGCACAAAGATCAACCTGAGCTCCAATCGTGTTGACTCAAAGCTGATTTGGAACTGTACAAATACCCTTGAGAAAGCCGATGAACCGAATCTAACTTTATAGGATCAGAACCATTCATGGGCATTGCAAAGAGCACAGCCAAAGGAATTATCTCAAAATGGAGAGATATTTTAGGGCTAACTCATTCGATTGCAGTTACAACCAACCCTTCCAAGAAGGCTTTTGCTCATATCTGGAAATGAAGTAAGAAATATCTGCTCATTCATTCTCACGAAACTGATGACAGGACTTTATAGTTTAGGTCTAGGTCCGCAACAGACGTGTGACTGTGGATTCTACAGAGCGAATTGGGTTCCAGCTCTTCGTATTCACCCCACTGAAGCCCAATGATTTTAAACAAGTTTCACCTGATTTATCTATGGTCTTCATCAAAAGGCGTGGCTTTTACATGGAACTATAAGTTAGACATGAACCACAATAGATCCATTTGAGTCGCAGTGGAAGACGATGAGTTCATTCTACTCATTTTCAACATAATTTAACCTAAATAGATCAGGTTTGAAGCTACAGATCAACATACTTTAATTCCACTTACCTGAGATACGTTTCAGCAATAGGAGATTTCTTCCTTAATTCATCATTACTTTTTGCAGTTTTAATAACCATATCATACTCTTTGTCATCTTGTTTCCCCACGTCTGCAGTCACTTTAACGAAATTAATTTCTCCTAAATATCCATCGCCTTTGGAAGACGATCCAGACATATTCAGCTTGTAGTTACTGATACCCTCTTTGGCCATAACCTCATCTATCCATTTTTGAACGTCTTTGGAATTTACACCCATTTTAAAACAATGAGTGGATCTGTGTCTGTATATATTTACGAACAAATATATTTTAACTAGAATTGGTCTATTGAATAGCGAGCGTTTATATAGGTTCATTTCCAAAACAAATAAAGCGATTATAATTATAAGTAAAAAAAAATAAATCGTATAATTATTGATAATTTAGAGAATTCTTAATTCTATCGTGTATGTTATGTAATGAATGTATAATTGTTTGATGCATCTGTGCAATTTTTACATTGACAAAATAACCATGTCATTATTTTCTTTATAAATTAACAATGGTTTAATGTATACAGGGTGAGCGAAACTCGATGTCTCAGTTCTATTTTAAGAAAAGGAAAATCTAAAAAAATGTTCTTAAATGGGATTGATTTGATTGCAAAATTTGCAAATTTTTCCCAATTTGGTTACTAATAATAGTAGACGCTTTTCCGGCAATGTTTGAATGCGTGGATAAGCGTAAACCGTCCTGGAATGTGCTGGAAAATTGATGGTCGATTAACAGCCGTGCATTACATACACATATTAGACAATGTGACGGTACTATAAGTAAGACAATTAGCCTTTTTCCTGGGAAGATTTAAAAAAGATCCGCTAGGGGCAGCACCGGTGGGGGGGTACATATGTTTCGAATTCTCTATTGACAACAACGTCAAACGTACGTTTTATTATTATTAGAATAAATAAATATTGTAATAAATAAAATTAAAAAACAAATTGTCATGCCTACAAAACATTGTGCGTTTGCAAATTGTACGTCTGACAATCGTTACAAGCAAGATGGTGTAAAATTTGTGCCTTTTATAACACCACAAGTTGACAAAAAAAAGTGTTTGGAGTGAATACATTTATCACGAAGGGCAGATTTAACAGTTAAAAAAATAAAAATACATACTTTTATTTGTACAAGACATTTTATTAATTCAAATGGACCAACAATAGAAAACACAAATCCATTGCCAGGGACAGTTTCAAAGGTTAGTAATTGTTTATTTAAAGAGGTTATATTTTATATCAGTCTACATATTGTTAGAGAGTTATTGCAAGTTCACTTAAGGTCAGTCACTATTAGTGCCGCTCTTATTTTGACATCTGAGCATGCGTAGATCACTAACTTTAATAAAGATTGTGTCTGTCCTTAATAAGAAAGTTATTGCAAGTTCACTTAAGGTCAGTCACTATTAGTGCCGCTCTTATTTTGACATCTAAGCATGCGCAGATGTTTATGTTTTAAAACTGACTTTATTAAGGATTGTGCCTGTCCTTAATTGTGGATGTTTAAGGGCAGCAGGTAGTAGCGACTTTATAGCTTTCGGATGCGCTCGTCATTTAAACCTTCCAAAATTATAATTTCTACTGCCTTTTTAATATTAGGTATTATTATAGAATTTATTTGACTCTAATTACGATTTCACTATTAGTGGCTGGCTTTATAGAAATTTGCAATATCTCTCTATTAAGGACGGGCACAATCTTTATTAAAGTTAGTGATCTGCGCATGCTCAGATGTCAAAATAAGAGCGGCACTAATAGTGAGTGACCTTAAGTGAACTTGCAATAACTCTCTATTATCATTAGTGATAGTAAATAATGAACTTAAACTTCTTTTTAATTGTGTATGAAATATAAAAGACAGCAACGATGTATTGAAGAGGACTTAAGCACTGGAAAAAATAAACATCAAAAATTTATCTGTTCTACTGTTACTGATGTTGAATCATTTAGCCTCTGATCTTGCACTTTTGCAACTTTTAATTTCGCTCCAGGTACATCATTTTCCGTTCATTTCCATTATAAATCTATACGTTTGACGTGGTTGTTAATAGAAAATTCAAAACATATGTACCCCCCCACCGGTGCTGCCCCTAGCGGATCTTTTTTAAATCTTCCCAGGAAAAGGCTAATTTGTTCCTGACAATTTTACCTTGCAGCTTGTAGGAAATCAGTTTAGTATACTCATAAATGTTTATAACTGAAAAATTAATCAACTTTATGTGCAGAGTCATCAGTGCGTAATCTGAAAATACATTTTGTTAAACAATAATTAAAAATTAAACCAAAATTGAACAGAGAAATTATTTATAAACCGTTTGAAAAAAAAATTTGATTTTGACAACATAAAATTTAATTGATAAAAAGGTTAAATGAATAAGGATATTACTCTGCTGTAAAATGTATTAATTTCGACAAAATTTTAATCTGTGATGGGTTATAGTACCTCCAAGAACAACCCTGTTTTTTCATACTGGTTTTTCAGGGAAGACAGAATTAATTAAAATCAGACAAAACTATATACATTCAATTTTCGATCTAGTTAGCAGCCTACATTGGCTTATTATGTTATTTGTAACAAGAAGTCATGCCAATCACGATTAAAATTAATAACATTTGTTTGTCGTCCACAACATCGGTCATGTTCTCGTTAGACGGCATAAAACAGCTTGTGGAACACTTGCAGATGATTTCAAGAAGAAATCCCTCTGTATTATTTTAATTGAAATGTTATTAAAGCATACTTTGTACATATTGTAAATCAAGTGATTTTGTAAAAAAGTACCTTGTAATTATCATAATTAATATTAATTAATGTGAATAAAACCATAATAAAACATTAGAAATCAAATAATGACTATTTTGAAAATTATGAAATAATGCTGTAGAATTTAAATAAACATCAAAGAAATTTGAAAAGGTAATTTTTAAAAAAATACAAACCGTCAGAAACGTATTAAAATGTGTATAAATAATACATTACTATAGTCTATTTTTATGTATGAGAGAGTAATAAAACAGCATTTCTAATGCAAAACTTAGTACGGTCATTTTAAATATTTTTACAGAATAATCTAAATATTTCCTAAAATTGTAATAAATGTACCTGAGCTATTACAAGTTTTGGGTCTTTTATTGGTCCTTTATAAACATAAGCTGTACAGAACAATAGAAAAAGGTTTGGACAGGCCAAAAGCCCTGTGTATTAAAGATTTCATAGCTGTATCTTAAGATTATTTTCAATAAGTACCTATTTTCCAATTATGTTTTATTTTAATTTCAAGATTTTCTTACAGTAATCGAATTATAAGTAGATAAATACCTTCCCAACAAATTTCACCGAAAATGCGATTATAGGTTTTCCATTTAGTAAGGAGGTCCAAGTTGTGTATTCTTGATAGTTTACTAAATGTCGTTTAGTTGCAACTTGCAAGGTGCAGTGTGAATTCTAGTGTGATCATGGAAAATTTGGAAGGGCCGCGTAAACGACAAAAAATCGGTCCTTTAACAGTTAATGAAAAAACATTAATATTTAATTGTTTTAAATCATTTATAGACAAACATTTATGTAAAAATGTTGATGACACAGTGGAATTAGTTATTAGTACGCTTGGTGTTGGGAAATCTACGATTTACAGAGTTGTTAAAGAAGAGAAATGTGGCGAGTTTCAAACAGCACGTAAAGCTCCAGGAAAACCAAAATTTCAATTAGAAAATCTTTCGAAAGAAAGACTTCGAAGGAAAGTTCATGCGTTCTTCTTTAAAAAAGAATTTCCGACAGTAGACAAAGTTCTTGCCACGGTTCGAGATGATAATGATTACCCTGAAATGAGTCGAAGCACACTATTGAAACTTTTAAAATAAATAGGTTTTCTATGGAAAAAGCATTCCAAAAAGTCTATTTTAATAGAAAGAAGCGATATTGTAGTATGGAGAAGAAATTACCTAAGGACTATAAAAGAAATGAGAAACCAGAGAAGAAATATATTTTATTTAGATGAAACATGGATCAACGAGGGACATAAACCAAATAAATTTTGGCAAGATGAAACTGTTACAAGTCGAAGACAGACTTTTTTAAATAATTTATCTACTGGTTTAAATCCACCATCAGGAAAGGGGCGCAGACTAATAATAGTACACATCTGTTGTTCAAACGGTTTTGTTAAAGGTGGTTTATTGACTTTTGAATCTACTCGTACCGGTGACTACCATGAGGACATGAATGCTGATGTCTTTAAAGAGTGGTTCGAACAAATTATAAATCTTCCTCAGAACTGTCTAATAGTAATGGATAATGCAAGTTATCACTCGAGACTTATAGAAAAAATGCCCAAAACCAAGTGGTTAAAAAAAGATTTACAGAATTGGCTAAATTCAAAGAATATTAAGTTCCATCCCGGTTCTGTGAGAAAAGAACTGTATGATTTGTATTCCCTTCATAAAGAGAAATTCAAAAAATATGAAATTGATGAAATTGCAAAAAATCGTGGGATGACGGTGGTTAGATCACCACCATATCATTGCGAAGTAAACCCGATTGAACTGATATGGGCACAGATAAAGGGAGAAGTTTCAAGAAAAAATAATTCTTTTAAAATGTTGTTTTTGGAGGCTGTAAATAATGTGAAGCCTGAAAACTGGGAAAAGGCAGTAAATCATACGATTAAAGAAGAAGAGAAAATGTGGAAGTTGGACAATATTACTGATGAAATGATCGAGCCACTCATTGTAAATATTGGTTGCGACAGTTCATCTTCTGATTTCGATTCTGATTTGGATTTGTAGGTAAGAACTAGTTTTTATATTAAAATTATTATTTATGAACGTAACGTTGTTTAAAAGTCAAAGTTTAAACCCTTATACCTACATAACCCGTTTGACACAATGTTCTTAACATACCTTGTGGAAAAATAAAACATTTTAGAAAAAATTGCACTTTTTTACCTTCAGCTGTTTAGAAGTTATAAGCAGGTTAATTAGGTGAAAATATAAGTGTATACTCGAGGAATAACTTCAAAAAATATTTTAACTGTCTACTAAAAGAAGTGGTACGCCTATGGTTTACGAACGCTTTATTATTTTAATACTCTCTCATACATAAAAATAGACTATACATAATGCCAAATTGGACTTTATTTGTAAAATTTAAAATGTGTTGTAAAATTATTTAAAATTCATTTAGTCATGAAATCAACTTGCTTGCATCCATGTTAAATCGGCAAAGGCGAACCCACGGTTCAGAGACTGAAACGTAGCCTCATCAGGTTACTAGGGAGGGAGGTGTGATGGCACAAAATGAAAAATCGAGATGAGTTGACAGAAA